ATCCCCTTCTGCTACGAGTCACCTAGCACACCGTAATTTAGCTTTTGGACTTTTTTTTTTTTTTTTTTTTTTTTTTTTTTACATACAGGGTTTACAGCTGGTATCTTTACAGCTGGAACATCTTGGTTTTGGCCCAGGGAATTGATGCTCAGTGCTTGGCGGCACAATTTCGTGTCAGTCACCTACGTTTTACTTTCGCCCCTTCTGTTTATTTACATTGCTGTAGCGGCGCCGCTACAGAACAAACTTCATAGTTAGAACTCGAAAGGTTTAAAATTAACGTGGGGATTCCCCTCCATACTGAAAACAAACTTGTTTTTGACTTGGGAAAAAAATAAGACTTCAGACCAGCATGGCGGTATTCTACCAGGGAGGAGGTTTGGTAGTGCGTTCCTTCATCCAGGTTTCCCAAACAGGAAACCTTCCCGATCAGCTTTTTATTTCCCTTCGCCCCCTCCATCCAATTAGATATGCATCTTTGGGGTTTAAAAAAAAAAAAAAAAAAAGAGTATTTGCACTTTCCTCTTCCTTCAATGCAAGTTTCTGTCCCAAAGCTTCACAGCATTATTCCCCCCACCCTCCCCTGCCGCAGACCACCACCCAAGGAAGATTCACACGGTCGTCTTTTTTTCCCCACCCATTTAGTGCATCCAGGTTGAAAGGAAGGAAATGAGGAAGAGACCAGGAGGTGCGGGGAGACAGACACCTCGTTTCAAGGTCTTGGGCTTTCCCGAGAGTCCACCCCCAGCAACAGAGTTATGGAGACGGCTTCATGAGGTTTCACCACCAGTCTCGACGGGCAGTCAAACATGCACCTGGCTCTTCCCTGTGCTTGCTACTGGCTGGGCAGAAAGGTAAACAAATTGAAAAATGAAGCTACTGGATAATTCAGCCTTGTGTCAGAAATGCAGTTCCAAAAAGAAACGAAGAGCCGTCTCCTTCGGCCTGCTACTTTGGCTGGAAAAAAAAAAAAAATCATCAGCGGCTCCAGTAGCAACATGGCCTTCCTCCCGTTTCAAAATTCCTAATTCCCCAGCATTCCAAGATTAACATCAGCTCCTCGTCTTTCAAACACATTTTAGACAACACACTTTCCTCAATCCATCTTTGATTTTGGCTCCCTGATAATTTAATGTCTTTAAAAAAAGAGACTGAACCTTGGCGGTTTTGGATCTACTTCGAGATGAAGCACGTTAGGGACTGTTGCTCCCCTGCTGTTATCTTGGAGCTAGCTACCCACTCGAGCCCTCCTACCACAGAGCCGAAACGTAATACAGGAATTTTCCACGCAGCTGCGCGCTCGGCAGTGGTACAGAAAGGCAGCTCCCGTTACTCCTATTGCTGCTGTTTTCCACTGGGAAGAATGAGCGTCACTTGGCTCATCGGGATGCCCGACCAGAGAGCAGCAGCAGCGCTGGTTGCACCGGCAGCACCTCCTGCGATAAAAGCAGATTTGGTCAGTTTTACCCCACTTTCCTTAGGGTTTGATGGCACTGGGTCTGCTGACAGCATTCCCTCCACTTCTTTACGGCCTTCGGCGGCTGTACGCCTCTGCCCTGAGCTGCCAAAGTGGAGGGATATACTGGCCCCTCTGCTGTCCTACAAAATTAAGAGGATCCTGCTGACCTAATCCCAGATTACAAAGAAAAAAAAGGAAAACCACCAAACCCTGCAAATTAATTTATCCCCTGCTCTTCACCCCTTCAAACAACTTAGAAGTTACAGGCTTTGTCGATTCTCCGTTTATTTTGAGAAATATAAAATATGAAAACTAGTTTACAATTCTGGCACAAAAACGATGAAGCGAGAAGCACAGATCTTCTTTTTACAAATAACGCTATGTAGTTTTACCACTTAAAAGTGCCTAAAAGTTTTTCACAGCAAATAAAGTTTATTTACCTGTATATTTTTTTTTTCCTCCTTAGTAAAATATCAAATCTATTTAAATTGCACATGAACACCTTGGTGAAGTAAACTATATGGAAAGTTACAATAAATCCGTATTTAAAGCAGTCATTAGAACCTACATGGAATGGAAAAGACTAATCAAAGCCTAAAGCGAATCGTTAACGATTGACCAAGAAAACAAGAGGCAAGACACCACCTGATATGGCACAAGTGACTGAATTACTGACAGTTTGACGGAAAGGAATAAAGCCTATTTGAAGTTCTTCACGGATCCAATACACCGCTAAAACATTTCAACGCAGAGGTTCTGTAGTACTTAAACTGGCAAGAGTGGGTTTTTTTTTATTTTCGCTGCTAAACGGTTTTCCACAAGATTACAAGGCAGCTCCTTCACTTCAATACTGGACCTTTAAGTGAGTACGTTGGTAGACAGAGAATGTGCATAAGAAAACAAAAATTTTACAGCAAAGGGTGCTGTAGATGACAACTTACTACATTCTGACAACCAGACAGTTGAGAAGTTTGTCATTTAACGGCATTAACTTGCAACAGCAGAAACTAGAACGCATGAAAACATCATTCTTTACTTGTTCCTTCAAAAGCTTGCCTTGTCCAAATTTCCGCAGTTGCTGAAGGGTTCAACCTGCAGTTTTACTGTCAACACACGCTATGCAAAACCAGGTGTGAACTGAAGACTCTCTTGGTCAGGGCCACAACGGTGTTCTTACTCCTCCTCCGCACGTGCATCAGTCGTCATCTGGAGGACCCTTCAGTCAAGGGAGAGTGGTTAGTGGTCGAAGACGTCCAGCCTGGAATACCGTACGAGGCCCAGCTGCTGTACTGCCTTGCGTGTGCGCTGACCTTCCGGACTACGTTTCTTAAATGCAAACCCTTCAACACCCCAAGTTAAAGATCAAAAAAATTCAAGTATCCAAAGTCTTACTGGTTTTAAGTCCTGACCTTCAAGGTTGTGTTGATGTCAAGTCACTTGGGTAAGCATCTATTTCAAACTACAGCACAACCCACGCCCGTGGTCGGCATCTTTCCCGGGTGCTCTAAGGAGTATTGGACTTGCATCAAACCAAGAATTAACATAGGTAATAGGGTCCAAACTGCATCCTCACGTTGCTTTAGGAAACACAGCGGTGTTGACAGTGGACATACGAGAAATGCTCCATTGTGTCACTCACACTAAGCAGCACAGGAAACACGTACGCGCACTAGATTTCTTTGCACTGAAGCTCAGCTGTTTAAAAAAATCTGCAGGAATACACTCCATTATCAAAATTAGTATTATCTTATAGGCATGCACTGCTTCACACATCTAAACAAAATCAGGAGGCAGGACCTAAACCATAGGATTTGTGAAGAATTCAACAATGCCTCAACATTTGCAATCAAAATGAGAGTGCCAGTGTGACCCTCCCCCCCCAAAATACGTTTGCAAACCAGGCATTAAAGCAAATTTAGTCTGCGTGAAGAAAATCTGAAAAGTGATCGACAGAATTCGGAGAGGGAAAATAATTAGCCTCAATAAATTACATTCTGAAGGTTTCCTAGTTAGCCACCCATTGTTTTTCATCTCAGTTTAACCCAATATCCCTTCTGAAACAGATGTGGAGAATTATCTTAACAAAAGCAATCAATTTTGCCTATTTTGTTGTTAAATACTAGTTTCAAGGAAGGGAGAGTGCCCTTTTTTATGAGCAATTTTAGGGTCAGAGTGCTGACTGAAAAAGGAAAACGTGACATTGAGAACACAGCAGTGCAAACAAATACAACATAAGCAGCTTTCGGAACAAAAAAAGGCAGCTCACAAGGCACTTGCTATAGTGGTCCATTAAATGAACAGTATATATATAGTGCACCCCTAAAACATCACTGTTATGCATCAAGCTTTTTCGGTGTTGAGGTTTATTAGAAACAGCCATGGGGTTCTGTGTATTCTGAAAAGAGTTATTGAGCAGCCTCATTTCAGCGAATATAAATGAAACAAATCAGAAGCAGGGGCAGAGAAGGAGAGTACTTGAAATCATTTCTGGTCATGTGAAAGTTGTTCCGTGTGGAGATAAAACCAAGCGTGGAATGCCATTCTGACACACGGCCCCTCCCTCCCGACCCCTCCTCCCTGCCCCAAAAAAAGCTACATTCATGCTACTGGAAGAGCCTGGCATTTTAATTACAATTGATTCTATCATCAACTACTGGTTTGGCTCATCATTTGCAGCTTTGAAAAAAATAATGTGCATAACAGTAGCATTAAGCTACTTTCCTTTCCAGACCAAAAACTGGCAGATAAGGAAAAGTAAGTTATTTGTAAAAATTGTACAATATTTCAATGGCTTAAAATGCTGAAAGTCATAATCAACACACTTGATACTGCTCTGATTTTTCTTTTTTTGTTCACAACATACTTCAAAAGGCCAGAAGAGCTACAGACCCGGTCACATCTCCTAGCATTTCTCTGTGGGAACGGGTTCTTCATCTCCCTTTACAAAGTATGCATCTATTAGACCATACTTTTTAATGACTCCCAGTCTGAGAAAGCTTGGATCATACGAATATATCTGCCCTCTTAAGGTTTCCACAGCTGCATGTTGGACAGAATAAGGAAAGCTGTCATTGACAGAAGGATCTGTAGATTGGCCAAAGGAAAAAGTTAACGGTCTAAATTACAGTCCCAGAATGGTAGCAAAAGGTACCAACTTGTCCAGGGGACTTCCATCTACTTCAGCCCAGTCTGCCATGGTACTTATTTTGGCCATAAGCACCAAAGTGAGAAAACTTAAGCATTTGTCCAGAATTACCGCACACAGTCCGTTCTCAAACTCTACTCTGCAGATCACTTACAAGTTCCCCAAATTCTAACTCAAATCACCAAAAAAAAAAAAACAAACCAAAAACACCAATCAACCCTATATCCTGATTCACACTTTTGCATAGTTTGGCATTTTCTGGAGTCATACTTTTGTTTTCTTTCATAGTTTTTAATGGGACTCATCTGTCACATCCGCAAGTACTTCCAGTCTAAATCCTTCAAGAGCAAAACCGAGTCCCACTCGAGCAGCAAGCTGTCCAGGACTGTTTGACATTCTTCTTTCAATTCAAAGTAAAGATTACTCAGTTTTATCTGCACTTTCAGATTTTTCCCTTTGCATCATGCAGCGACGAACTATGCTGTCAAAACTTCCTAGGTAGAATAGGCCAACGATGCGAAAAATGCCCATGCAAACAACCTGGAAACAGAGAGAAGCAGCTTTCAATTCGTTTAAGATCCTGGATTGCAGCATATTATTTACTCATGAAACGGAAAAAAAGAGTTCAAGGGAGGTATGTTATATAATCTCAAGAAAACTCATGAAGAGCATCGTAACTACGTTAACAGTTCAGGACGGAGTAGCAGATAGCAGTGATCTTCGCTTTCCTGCCAACTTGCTCCTTCAGCTTGAAAATACGACTTCTGTTTCCTAAACCCAGCTCTCTGAAAATTGTGACTACGGGGCCTTCCCAAGTCTTACCTGCTGAAGACCTTCAGTAATGGAAGTGACGGGTGACATTCCACTTGTCAGTATCGACAGCATGTAACCGTCTGACCCAACCGAGCTGTTAAAGTTCCCTTGCTGGATGGACAGAGGGAAAACAGCAATTAAGTAATTTACCCAGCTGTGGCAAATCATGACGTGTCTTATTTCAACACCTACTCTCGATGAGCGTAACTGACCGATGCCACTAACAAATACTTTTAGGTAAAAAAAGCATTCACACAATTAAGAATCAAAATACCCCAAAAATATTTTGTGCTATACCCCAAAGATTCCAAAAGGCACGCACTTCATGACGGACGAGGAAGCTAACCTCTCTTTAGAGAGGCGTGTGAAATCACCGCAGGTTTCTTTACAAGATGCAGCTCTACAGCTCTGACTCCTAGGCTTCTCTCCCCTGTGTTTCCAGCAGACTTGATGCTGGAAAACAGACATTCTGTAACACTGCGGGACTAAATCTGTGGAATGTGGAAGTGAGAAGAGAAAGTGGTGTTCCTCAAACAGGGTTAGGAGTGAATCTATGCGAACCAGCAGAGGATGAGAGGTTTGGTTATTTCCCAACACATACCTGAGAGAGAGGACTGCGAGTTCCTACAGTACAGGACTACTTTTTAATTTCTATTTCAGTCTCTCATCCGATGGCTTGAGTACCTAAAGACCATTTCTGAACTAATGTATCATCCAAAGTGCTGGAAAGCGTGGTGTTGAAATATCAGATGCTTAAGATGAGAAAGGAGATTAGTTTTCCTTAAGCACCAGCGCAGAACACTGCGCGAGATACAGCACTTGCTTTTAGAACTCACCACCCCAAAACCAGACATCATTTTAGATTTATGTGCTGTGTTTGTGAAAATATTGTAAAAACTTCACAACTGAACAATGGCTGCAGATGTAAATTGGGTTGAAGATCAAGACTATCTGGAACTGTAAAATAATTAGATTTTAGGATTCAATTGCTGTGCTTTATGAACATGAAATTTCATGGGGTTTTTTTTCCATTCTGAGGTGCTTTATGAAGTGTGCAAGCATTCCGTAGCACAAAACATAAGCAGAATTCCTCAGAAAGCCAATACACCTTTAACCACTAAGGGCAGGATCTTATGTAACCACTCATAAATCAAATATTTAAGACATTAAAAGCCAAAAAAGCTAGACTGCTTTCATGTACTGTAGTTATTTTTATGTGAACTCATCTTCAAGAAAAATAAGATGGTCCAACAAGCTTTCGAGGTTAGACAAGTGGTATTTGATACATAAGTCAATAGAGTTTAGTGCTTTAAACTCAGTCACCATCTGCCTTTGAGACATTGCATCATACTGATGCATTATTTTGTTCTGTCTAAAGCACAACTTTCAGATACTCTTTACTTCCAAGAGAATTTATAAAATCATTTGTGGACGCACTGGCAGAAGAATAAGGAAAATACTTCCTGTTGTAACTACCCAGCCAAGAGTACTGTTTCATGTAAATGGATTTGTGTTTAGCTCAGCCATTGTCTTAACAGTCTTAAACAAGCACTACATGCGATCCTACTCTTTCCAACGAAGAACATACTTCAAAATAAAGATGATTTACTTACTATGGCATCTTTGACTATAACTCTGGCAACTTGTTCTGCTTGGCAAACAGATGAAGTTTCAGAAATCAGCTTCGTCTCTAAGGGCTTCAGCAGGGAAGAAAAAAACAGCAACATAAGTTTGACTAACACCACACAGGAGAGAAAAATATGAAGGCCAAATTTTGGTTTGGGGTCTTTTGTAACGGATGACATCACTGTTAGCAAGTTATCATCTGTTACCCAAAACATCCACTTTAAAAGATGATAAAAGCACCTTCAGAAATAACAGTTATTTATGAAGGGAAATGCCAACTTTTCCTTGAGCAGTTTCTTTTATAGTTTATTACTAATAAGATATGAAAAAGTGGGTTTCCCTCCCCCCCCAAGTATATTATATTCAGTAGATGCCATCAAAATGCTTAAACTGTCTCCTTAACACCTGTATTAGTTCTTTTCTGTTGTTGTTGGGTGGCTTTTTTTTTTTGCCCAGCAATTAATTGAAAGATAGGATTTAAAAAAATGTCAGGCCTACAAAACAAATTTATACTTTCCTGTCCCCTCCCTCCACACACTGGTATCCACCAGAATCCATCACTGCATTTTATTTCTCTGTGGTATAGAGCACTTGTGCCACTTCACCTGACTATAAGAAAGTAATCATGGCAGTTATTTTAGCAATCACAATTTCTTTCACCAAAAAAAAAAACCCCAACCCCACATTCAAACAAAAAACCCACCAACTAACCCCCGAAGACCAAACCCGAAAGCAACAAAGAAAACCCCAAGCCTGGATGGAAAACAATATGCTTTGAAGTATTTAGAAGCTTGTATGTCATTCACGTCCTTTAACAAATAAAAGAGTGACGGAGCCAACTGCACAGCAAGCTCTGGGTTGCTCACGATGAGAGCAAGTCACCCAAAGACTTCATGGATGCTGAAAGAAAGCACATCTTTGCTCAAAAGACACCTTTTTGACAAATAAGGCAGATCTCACTAAATCTCTTTAAAAAAGAGAAATCTTAAACAAACAGCACATTTTGCTGGTGACCCTATTTCCCTGAAATAGGCTATTGTGAAGAAAAAAACCCCAGACAATATGCAAGCTATACAGTACCTGCAGATGCCCAGTTCCGGCACTTTATGTGGATGTGTGGAGTATGCATTTAATACAGAATATGGGTATCAAGAAATGACAAAGTAAGGATTGTGTTATACAATTCCTACTGGTTCCTATACAAAGGGTGAAAGACAAAAATGGAATTCAACCCCAATTTCCTATTATACACGATGGGGCAATCTTGAAAAAGCTGATACCCTGAGGTATCAGGTTTCTAGTTCTCAGCACGCAAACAGAAAGAGACACATTTTTCTCTGATTACTTGATACTTCAGTCTGAACAGGGGACCTGGACGCAGTTTTTGGAATCCTACTTCATGCGTAGGGACATGTCAGATGACAAGAGGCAACTAAAATTTTGAAGGTCAGAACTTTCGTTTTTAAGGAAAGCCAGATGAAAAAGGCTTAACTGCTGACACACCCTTCTGAAAAGTGATACTGTCATCTGCACTACAAACCCGATGCGAGTGAGTTTCCTTCTTACTTTAATACTAGACAACAGCCACCACCGAACTGCGTCGCGACGTATGTACTCATACAGCGCGGCCTAGTGTGCATACCTCACTGAAGGAGCTCAGGTTTATTTTAACGTCACATCTATCGGAACAACCGCATATCATCAAAGATGCAAAACAGGAATATTAATATCGGCTTAAGAGCTGCTATCAAAACAGACGGCAGTTTTTACAGTTTAACATTCCGCAACAATACAGAAAGACTTTGCAGTGTTTCAGACATTAAAGGCAGGGAGTTCTTCCATTTAAAGTCAGAACAATAAACCACACAAAATTATCCTGCAAGCGATTTAACCCTGACTGCTTAAATTGATAATATTGAAGTGTTTAAAAGTGCTTCCTGAAATCAGTGCATGCTAAGAATTTAAAAGCACTACAAAAAGTGAATGGTCTGAGGTGCATTTTAAAGTGAAGCTTTAAAAACATTCCAGTATTACTGGAGGACACTTTACCTTTGTTTTACTTTCTTCTGCAAAGCCAGGTGTGTCAGTATCTGGAGGATAGGCCACCGTTAGGTAGATATTATAAGGTTTTACCTGTGTTATACAAAAGTAAGTGTTATAAAGGCTGTCAGTATTAAGATATGTCCCTCCTAACTTCACAAATTTCTCTGGTACCAAAGAAATACAGCAAGAAGGAATTTAAATTGGTTCTAGTGTTAAGTCACCCTCATATTCAGCAATTGCATGACTTACAGCTTTGTCAAATGAGAAGGCAAAACAGCAGATGGTTGTGTTTTGTTTAATAAGAATACCTAAAAACTTTCCATTCAAAGCAAATTATTTGATAAATCTAAGCATCTAAGCATATTTGGAGTATGAAAGTAGTTCCGCTCTATAATTTTACTAATTCCAATTAAAAAAAAAAAACAAAACAAAAAACCCCATACCACTAAGCCACTACCAAACACTGTACCCAAAATTCATAAACACAGAGCTAAAGAGGCTTTCACTGGGGCTTATTAGCATGCTTTGTTGTTGTTGTTTATGTCAACATGTTTTCACTGCTGGACAAATATGAGAAAAAACAACCACAACAACAAGGTAAAACTCAAATTTGATCTCTTTAAGAGATATACTCAAGTCACAAGGCTTTTCAACCCATGGTATAAACTTGCAAGGGGTCGAAGTCTAAGGAAACAAAGAACAAAAAAAAAGTAGAAAATGTGAGAAAAAATGGAAGGTCTCATGCCAATGATTGCCTTTAGTTACGTACTTGTATGTATGTGTCATAATTATATAACTTACTACCCCACTATTCAGATTACTACAACGCAAATTTGTACTGCACTACAAGTGAAGAACCTTTTAATGGAAATATTGAGAGAGCTAAGATAAAGCCAAGTGTTGTAAAGCACTACGCGTTTTTACTCACATTATGAAATGTTGTATACTGAAAACATTTACTGAGATATCACATCCCAGGTCCATAAACACCCTATTTTTAGTTTCAAATAATTCAGTCTTCACAAAAGCACCTGCCCACCAGTCTGAGGAAAGACCCTGCAGTCATGCTGTTCCATTTGGCAAGTCAGAAGTGATTAGAGGCACTTTTACCCCACATTATTATCCTGATCAGGGCATACAAGTACCTTGAACAGAAGAAGGTAACAACAGGGACTATGCAAGGCAGACACTAATATATAGACACTTAACTAAAACATACATTCTTAACAGAAGAATAAGGGTAGAAATTTTCACACCAATTTTACCTGTCTTACTGCAATGTACTTACCAACCTCATTCTATGGAATAACGAAAACAGTGTTTGGTTGGTTTTTAGCCTTGACTTAAGCATAAACTTAGATAAAAAGCTCACATACACCAAAATTTAGAAGGGTGAACCACTGTCAACACAACCGCTTTTGTGGACACTCAACAAATTCTAGCTTGCAAGTTTTACTCTTTCATATGGTTCACGTACCATTTACCATGGCCTCACAAACCAAGTTGGGAATCACTGGCCTGTCCCTCGTGCATCCATGGGATTTCTATATCAGTCTGCGCTTAGAGCCTCGAAAAAGACTTACTCAAAAGTCTTCAAATCCAAGTCCTTTTAGTTAAAGATTAAAAAAAGTCTGCACATGTGGTCATCTTCAGTTCTAGGAACAGATTCAATCTATTCCCTCTTATGCAACTGAAATCAGCTTAGTTTCTGTAACCCCATGCAGAGCAATAGGATTGTACTGCTGCCAAAAAAAGGGCCGACACAGGGCAGAGTTATCAGCAGTGCTGCACAAGATGGAACTGTTTAAATGAAGATGTGCTGTGCTGCTAGTTAAAAAAACCCAACAAAATAAAACCCATTTTTCTTTACAATCAAAAATGCTTAAATTATTGCACACATACCTCCATTTGCAGGGCTTCAGCCAGCCCTCGAAGAGCAAACTTTGTCGGAGAATAAGCTGTATAACCAAACAGGCCCAATTGCCCAGCCTGTGATGACACGAACACGATCCTCCCCATTCTGCGTTCCTTCATGGTGGCAATTACCGCTCGGCTTGGGTAAACACTGCCCAGATAATTGACTGCCATTAATCGCTGTACAAACGATATTAACATGGTATTTGAGCCACAGATTCAGAAACCTTCTGCTGTTTGGTATTATTTATCAACTATTATTTATCTGCTTTAACAATGAAGTTCACTAGATTTGTAGTTCTATCAGCTGGCAAAAGAAACAACAATTGTTTTCTATTCTATAGCTTCATAAACTGTTTTGTAGCTAAAAATCTCACTTCAAGCCAAAAGAAATCCTGTCTATCTACAAGTCTTAATAGCATTCAGCATACTGATAATACTGTGAACCATATGGCCTTTGAAGAAAGAAGAATGTTTGAGGGAAAACCTAACCTAAACAGTGTCCAGGAAGCAATCCATTTACGCATGATGTATGAAAACATACGGAAATGAAAGTTTAAAGAGCTTTCTAAAACAGGAAACAGGAAAAATAGTACGTATTTACGCATTTCAGAGATTTTCATCTTTGGCAGGATAAGGGGAAGTCTTTAACTTTACTCTCTAGAAGACCTAAAACACAATGGATCACCTAGTCAAGCAACAGAACACATGATTCAAATTCATTATATAATTATGCCTATTTAGTATTTTCAGATGGCTCAGTGTGATCCGTACATGAGCGGGAGCCTGAGGGCTGTGGGCATAAAGTAACCAAAATACAAAGGTTTGCGTGTGGTAGGGTTTTTATTTTTATTTGTTTTAATTTGGGGTTTTTTTGTCTGTGTTCACCAGAGCAGCAGCTTCTCAAGCTGCAGGCAATTTGTGCACCTCAGAGCTGAACAATGACAGCAGCTGAATTTTTCTTTAACAGATTAAAAAAAAAAAATCTTCACCACACACAAAAAAATAGACCATGTGAAATTCAGTGCCTTTCAGAGGGCATTAAACTATAAAAATACATGCCAGGTTTTTTTGATATCTTAAGGATTCGCTCTATCCCAGAGGAAGAATTCATCATTATGAGAATTCCGATTCATCAATGGACTGATAGTTGAGAAATTAGGGGCAATTCTCGCAAATCTAAAGATACATTCTAATTCTGACAGCTACCACAAATCAAGTGTATGACTATTCCATACTAAGTCTGCAAACACACAGGAATGCAATCTCATTGTCAGAACAGTTTAATAAGCAATCATTATATAAGATTAAAAAAGTATGCTCACTCACTTCAAAAGAATTCACTTCAATATCCTCAAATTTTCCTGTAATTGATGTTCCTGCACAATTTACAAGCATGTCAACTGGCCCCAGCTTCTCCTGAGCCTGGAAGAGGAGAGAGAGGTTAAGATGTTCTTTAGCAGGGAAAAAGCCCTCCTATAGCACAGTATCACTATAAGAAACTATTTCTGTTAGACATACAACACACAGATGAACTTTAAGATACACGAGTGAATCGGTTACTTCCTCACCTGTTTTAGAACATTCTCCACCTGTTCGTACTCTTTAGATACATCAACAGAAATACACAGCACAACCTAGAAAAGGAAAGCGAAAGAACATTTTTACAACACGATAAAGTCCAATAACTGCTGACTCCAAGCCTTTTAAAAGGAAACAAAACCCAATGGCACATCTTTTCCAGAAAAAACAAGAAGTCTTTTTGACAGGACAGTTTGTACTTCTCCCACACTGGAGAAAGCCCCCTTCGAGCCCCTCCCCCTCACACTAGTATAATAAAGATTATATTAAGAATAAATAAACACTTCAGGATCTTCAAAGCAGCTACCCATCTGCAAAGTATCCTTTCTCATTTACTACACTGAAAGACACACCATGACTCAAGTTACTTACATACAGCCTAGTAAAAACTTTTCTAACTCGGGCAATCAAAAGTTTCACAGTGCTACAATTCAACTTCCATCAGCGCTTTCCCGGACTTTATAAAGCAAGCATTAAACCTGCTAACTTCAGTACCGACGATCCATGCTACCCATTTTTTTCATACAATTTTTTTTGGAAGAATAGTAGTAAACTGAGTTGCATATTGTTTAATTTTGACATGTCAAGGATAAAACTAAAAGAAAGAAGCTGGCTAGTTGCACAATATCATACATATCCAAAAAATGAAGTAATGTATACAGGTTTATCCTTGTCTGGAAACCAGAGATCATGTGTTTTAGTTGGAAAGATGAAGAAAAAAATTAAAATAAGCACTGTCCAGTGGACAGGGGTGCAGGACAGGATGACAAAAAACAGATGGCAGTGATATAGAATCTTAGAATGGTTTGGGT